TGCAGTGCGCGACAGTCCGCGCCCTTGTCGTGCTTTTGTGGGACAGGTCGCAGCACAATGCTCCCGCGGGAGCACGTGTTGCTGCGCTGGGAGACGCTGCGCCGCCACAACATCCCGCTCGGAGAGCCGCTCTACGCCCGGCCGCTCGACGGCTCCGGGCAGCCACGGCGGGTCCTCGCTTGGGCGGGCCGCAAGCTGCAACCAGCGTCCCAGTCAACCACCGCGGGTGTGCACCGCTCCCACGGCGAGTCTGGCGTCGAGCTATGGGTCGGCCAGGCGACGACGCGAAGCGAGCCGCGTGCCTACCTGCACCAGCCTCGCGATGATGCCGCCGCCGCCAAGCCACGGGATGTGACGAGCGACGGGTTGGGCGAGGGCTCGGCCGTCGACGATGAGCTGATCGCGCTCGCCGAGCTCCCGCTGCACGCGCCGCACGTCTTTCGCGAGTGGGGCGTGCCCGCTCCCAGAGGCATCCTCGTGCACGGCCCCGCCGGCGCAGGGATCGGGGCGAGGCTGAGCCGTGCACTGGACGCGCACTACGTGCACGTGTCGGCAGGTGGGCTCGCGCCCCACGCCCTGTGGCACTCCCGCCCGCCGGAGCCACGCCGCGAATCGCGCCCGCGTAAGCCATCCGCACACCGCTGCTTCCCACCTCGCCTCCCGCCACTCGCCCTCCCCCGCTTCCCGCGCCGCAGGCGACCTGGCTGGCGGCGTCCGGCGCCGTGGAGAGGAGGCGCGAGCAGCCTCCCTTCACAGCTCACCCTGTGAGCAGGAGACCTCGCCTCGCGGCAGGGGGCTGGAGCGGAGGAGAGGCTCGCTCAGGCGTTTGCGGAGGCAAGCCCCGCCGCCGCTCCTCTTCCTTGCGGTGGAGAGAGCGGCTTCACGGCTCGTGCGGTAGATAGGCGCGCGAGCGCACGCCTTCGGTCCTCTTCATCGAGGATCCCGCGCCCTAGATGCGGCCGCATCTCGACTACATCTCCCCACATCTCCCCACATCCCGCGCCCTAGATGCGGCCGCATCTCGACTACATCTCCCCACATCTCCCCACATCCCGCGCCCTAGATGCGGCCGCATCTCGACTACATCTCCCCACATCTCCCCACATCTCGAGCCCTAGATGCGGACTCCACTCCCCAGAGCGGCCACTCGTCACGACACTCGCTTGCACTGCCCTCGGCTGCACTGCCCTCGGCTGCACTGCCCGTGCTCCTGACTTGGCCGCTGTGTTCGTAGCCCTCGCGTGTGCGTTGTCCTCGTAGCCCGTGCATCCACTGCACGATGGTCGCATCTCTCTCGCGTAAGCTCACGTCAATCTCCGCCAACCTCGGGCAATCGGGAGCTGGAGCTCCTCGGCGCGACAGCCGCAATCTACGCAACAGGACACGGAATCACACGTGCGCTAGGAGCTCGAGCTCATCGGCGGGGCGAGGGATGCCGCCGCCGCCGCCGCCGCCGCCGCCCGGCGGCTGCTCGCCTGCCTGCTGCTGCAGATGGAGGGCTTGCGCGAAGGGAGCATCGTCCTTGCTACCACCGCAGCGGCAGAAGCGATCGACCCGGCGCTGCGGCGGCCAGGAGCGACGCCGCTTTCCTCCCGCACCCCCACCACCCCCACCATCTCCGCCGCCAAGCCAGCCCCCGCCCTCGCCGCCGCCGCCCTGACCCGACCCATCGCCAACCCCGCCTCTGTCGCCTGCTACGCCGGAGCCGTCTCCCCCACGCGCTCGCCCGTAGACCGTAGACCGCCCCCCACGGCCCACCACAACAGGGCTGGGTACCGCCCTCAGGGTGGGTGCAGGCGGCTGCTCACGCCGTGGCGCTCGGACTCGCGCGCAGGCCGGTTCGACTGCGAGGTGGAGGCGGCGGTGCCGGACGAGGCGGAAAGGCGGCGGCTGCTCGACGCGCTCCTCGCCGCGGTGCCGCACTCCCTCACCGACTCGCAGCTCTCCAGGTAGCGAGGTCTAGCCGAGACCTGGCACCTGGCCCGAGGCGTGGCCCGAGATCGCGTCGACTGCCGCCTCCACCTGCGTGCCGCCTCCACCTGCCGAGATCGCGTCGACTGCCGCGCCGCCGAGGTCTAGCCCGAGGTCTAGCCCGAGGTCTAGCCCGAGGTCTAGCCCGAGGTCTAGCCCGAGACCAGCCGCGCCGCTTGTCAGGCTCGCCGGCAGCACGTCTGGCCTCGTGCGGGCGGACCTGCTCGCCCTCACCCGCCAGGCTAATGACAGTGAGCCACTGTCGAGAAGCAAGCAAACAGCCTCTCACCCCCTGCTCCCCCTCGCCCGCCAGGCGATCGCCCTCGCCATCTCGCGGCTGCGTAGCGGGGCCGCGTCGGCACACGGCGCGGGGCAGCAGGCGGCCGGGGCAGCGGCGGCCGGGGCAGCAGCGGCCGGGGCAGCCGACGGCGCGGGGCGGACAGGCGTGGCGACGGCGAGGCGGTCGGACGCCTCGTCGCCGCGTGCCGGGGTGGCAGCGGAGGTTGGGGCGGCCGGGGCGGCCGGGGCGGCCGAGTCCGCCCTCGTGGTGGAGCGTTGCGACTTCGAGGCGGCGCTGCCGCACGTGCGGCCTGGTCCGCTGCGGGGGCGCGAGATGAGCGTGCCGGCCGTGTCGTGGGGAGATGTCGGCGGGCAGGGGCGGCTCAAGCAAGCGCTGCAGGAGGCGGTGGTGTGGCCGCTCGAGCACGCGGCTCGCGTC